TTTGTAGGCAGTGGTTCGGGGGACACAGTTAGATATACCATCACAAAAAAAGATCGGCCGGGGCCGGCATCGCCGCAATCCTGCTTCGCGAATGGGGGGAACAAGCTGGTGCGGGATCACGGTAAGGGACATGGATTGAGCTCTATAACGTAAGATGAGCTGAAGAAAGAAGGCAAGAGATAATGATGCAATGATGCGCCCAGAAGTTACACAGAGATTAAGAATGACCCACTTTGTGCAGGCTCCTGCTTGGATAGTGTGCCCAATAACACTGAGTGGTCTACTAAACTTTTTGTCGCTTAACAGAGCTCAATTATCTATGGTAGGTTAGCTTTTCCAAGGATTCATCACCTCTCTTTGCATTGTCCACCTAGTCACCCTACCAAGACGTTCAATCGTTGCCCGGGCACCTGTCGAAGTAGAGTAGCCCTCTATAATTATTGAGTTAAATGCGGTTCGTAACGAAGAGAATTTATCGCTAACACCTTGCTGTCGTAGTAAATAAGCAGTGGCAGGCACCCGAGCTCCTTTTGGAGCCCCCTGGAAAATCATCTCGCAGGGGCAACTACCGCCGCCCTGCGGGCCGGCAGGCCGTTTGTGTGGGCGGCCAACCATGTCCACACCGAGCTCTCGCGGGGCGAGGAGGCTGGCGGTCGCGCTCACGAGCTCTCCGGCGCGGTAAACACAAAAAAAAAAGAAAATGGGCGGTGTCGGGATCACGCGAGGAGAGATGGATGGGTTTTAGCGTGAGAAAGAACAGCAGATGAGCAGATCAAAAACCAACTGGTTAAGTGGCTGCAAGCCATCAAAAGAATGTCACTAGCATGCTCTTCAAGAGGTCCTGCTCGGTCACGACGGTGACAATATGTCCTCACTCCTAGGTACATGGCAGGTCGGGGTTAGTCACTGCCCTAAGAAGAATTGTAGCGGCCGGCTTTCAGATCAGTAGTTTTGCGTTGTTTCTCCGATCAACACAGGTCGAATGGACCGAGCGTTATGCACACGAAAGGGCCGCGGTCAGCGCGGCGATCTTCCTTCCTCTTTCTTTTCCTAGTCGCACCTCATAGCTTAGCACACGCTTACACTGCGGCCATTCATTATACTCCTAGCCAGGACACATACCGGTCGGGGAGCTTAGAGGCTTGTCCTGGCTGGGGCGGTGCTACCTGGTGGGAATCAGCGGGGAAACCCGCGCTAGGCGGAAGGTAGGGCGCGCCGGATCTCACCAGCAACGGAGACGAACACGCGCCACCATCCCGCGATTCAAACATCACTACCAAGCTAAGGGACTTATAATTAGGCACTTGAGCGTGCGGAATTAATTCAACATCCAACCGGGGCGCATCGGAAGCTTTCTGCTTTTGACACTAGAGGGCTCATTGGAGAACAACGCAAACTCTCAAACGTGCAGCATGCTCAAAAGTAGTTAAGTTTAACTGATTATTTGATACTTTATGGCATAGGTCAGCAACGTTCACAGCAACGCAGCAAACGTCACATGTTTTCCGCGCGACCAACCCAGGCCTTTAATTAACGCACAGTGAGTGCCTACCTCCGAACTGGCATTACAGTAATAGGTAGCAATTTTCGTGTAAAACTGTAGAAGTTGTGTTTATTCCGCAGCGCTTTGGGCCTCATCGGTCTCAAAGTGGCGGAAAATTGCATGCTTAAGAGTGAATATCCCACGGTCGGGCACTGTGAGGTATTGCAATTAACAAACTGAACACACGCGAACATCCGCAACTCATATCATTGTTTTAAAAGTGAAAGTGACTCCAACCGTGGCGCAACTTCTAAGGCGAGATCCTGTGTCTGCGTTGCACCATATAATGATTATTATTTTATTTAATAGATAATTATACACAACGAATTAGATACTTGATCGCTATGCTAGGCCGAAGGCTTAGCCATTACGATACCTACATCTTCGCGTTCTAATCTTTCGAATTCTGGTATTCACCCCACATGGTCTGCTCCATCGGCAATCAAAGCCGCGGAAAAGAGTACACAGGTACGCAGGCCAGAAAAAACGTCCCGCAAGGGAAAACGCTGGCCGTACAAGAGCACCAATATTATGGTATTGTAAGCGTTTGCTTCGTCGTGGTGAATAAAACCACACAAGCATTTAAACAATTGACGTTTTATTCGGGGAACAAATTATACACTAAAATGCTACTTGGTCTAGTTTAGCAGATATATACACTTAATTATTTTCTTTACACACGTTTCCGTTCTGCTTCCATGGCTTGTTTTTTTTTTTTTTTTTTTTTTTTTTTTTTGTTTTTTTTTTTTTTTTTTTTTTTTTTTTTTTTTTTTTTTTTTTTTTGTTTTTTTACATTTACACGTTCAGCTTTTTTCTTAGCAGACAACGTATTTTATTTACCTACCGTTCTCTTGCTCTACAGTATTCAGCGGCAGTCCGATGGGGCACTGTCCAGCGGTCGCACTGCACTTGACGGCCAATTCTCTGCACAGAGCCACAATCCCCTGCTGCGCAGACCCCACAATTATTGCGGCAGTGACGGGGCACACTTCACTGCGTTCACTGGCGCACACGCAGGATGCGCGCCGGCAGATGACGCAATCCACGCGCAGCGAATTCGGCAGGTGACGCAATATTCGTAACAGTATTGTATGTGGGTAAACAACTTTACGGGTGCATCGAAGTGCAGGCACCCGGAAGAAGTATACCTTCGCAATGTGATATGTAATGTCCAAAATCCCTCATTTTGTACTTTACGGCTTAAAGAGCCACACGAGAACGACAGGTTTTAAAGGCGTCAGTTCCATAAACCTGGAGTTATGAAGGATGGAATGTCACAGAGTACTGTGTGTGGCGGATTGCATATAGGCACTTCTCGATTTATTCATTCTATAATCTACAAAATTCTACACTTTTCGTCTTAACGTGGTTTGATGTACGGTCGGAAGGTACTTCCTAATTCAGAATTCTCCCATTTTGTGCGATTTTGCATATATTTGCTCATCTTCTAATATGTTACATATCTTTTGGCAAATATCAATATTGTATCCATGTATCCGAAGTCAAGTGATAAAGAAAGCGAGGGAAATATTACAAGGATTACACAACACTTTTATAGAAATAATGAATGCACTTAGCTGTTATAAAATATTTGAAATTTTGTCATCAAAAATGTATAATTCAAAAAGTGAACATTTGCAAACACGCGTAATGTTTTGCATGATTTCTTTCCCACAACTTTGAGCACCATAGCGGTAACAAAAAGAAACCGTCTTCATCTCACACGTTTGTTTGCTTTAATGGTCAAATGGTTTCTCCATTGCCCCAAATTTGGATAGCCTTATAGTTGATGTGTAAAAACAAGTGTTGCTCATGACGACTTTACGAATCCCTCAAATCACGAATTACAAGTAGATTACGATTCTGATGAGATACTTATGCATGATTTATGCTTCGGACTACTTCGTTGAAAGCTTTACGTGATATGTATATTCTGCTTTACATATATCACTGCAACTGAACACCAGAGACAATACCATAATTCACTTACATTTCAGAATTTCATTCCATTACAACGTTTTATGGTGCAGAATATAAATGTTACAAAACTTCGGACACTGACTGAATCTCCCACAGATATGCCTGTGGTCTAAGTACAAAATGCGTGATGTTTTCCCTCGCCATCTTAACGTGCTCGACAGAAAATCCTTTTCATCACGTGGTACCAACACGGAACCACAAGATTAGTAACGTTTTCTTGATTTTCCTGTTCTTTGAGTTAGTTTAATTCTTCCTTAACTAAATTAACGAACTTACTAAGTTAACTAACTTAATCGTTCGAAGAGTAAGTAAAATTGGAGTGGTTAAGACTAAGAGACTGAGAGTACATCAGGAGTTTCTGGGCGTTCAGACTACTAGAAGAGATGTCTCAAGGCAATAATCTTACACGAAAAAAGTAAAAGTGATTGACAGGATATAAGGATCCCAATACACTAAACTAAAATAGGTTTAATGTGTAATCTGTTGGGAGGCAGTATTGTAAAATGGGACATCGCTTGTTTAGTGCCGGCCAGAATACAAGAGTGCACGCTAACGGATGTTTAACGATTAAGTTAGTTAAGTAAGTACGTTAGGTTAGTTAATTTAGTTAAAGAAGAATGCAACTAACTCAAAGAACCTTCATTCTGGAAAGTAACATAGAACGGCGAGGCCTTCAATAGAGGATTTCATCATAAACGTCTAAAAATTCTAATGAAATTTTTCTAGTAAAAAATTTTAAAATACAGAATAGGTCTATGAAAAAGGTTATACTCTATTGCTGAGTCAATTACGCCCATTTTAAAAGTTGCTTCTTTAGTTTTCTTTCATCAAATGAGCAAATGTACAGATGTCTCCGTTCTCTAGTTCTTACATTTTCACCACTCTAAACGTCACGTACGGATTTTAGTGTTTTTGTAGAGATAAATAAATTAAACCAGACTCAAGAAGTTGATTTTACTTGAAATCTGAAACTACTTGAATCCCGAGATATACACATATGAACAAAAGTAAATTAACAAAACTATATCGCATTGCAGATTGTATTTTCAATTCGGATTTCTTCAGGGCATAATCTTCATAATTCTAAGGGTTTCCTTTTAAATGTGTTTGAAGCATCGTTCGGTGGAGGGGATGTAATTCCATCTTCAGCAGCGGCACATTTACGTGGATGTGGTCAATGACGCCTTAAAGGTCGTTCAAAACTGCGTCTTTCCCTAGCGTGTTCTTTACAGACGATATTTTGTTTGTAACCCCGTGTTTTGTCTTCTGGCGTTGTTATTGCGCACGGTAGCCATAGCAGCGTCGTCGTCGGGCCGAGAAAGCCGTGCGAACGCTCCGCCATTCCCAGGAAACGACCTCTCGGCGAAGATTGATGCCGGCGAGGGGCGGCGAGCCGCTTGGCAGGCAGGTGGCGCGCCGACGCCCACGCCCACGCCCGCGCCGCGGCTCCCGGCACGTGCGACGCGGCCCGCGCGCTTTACGGCCCGGCGCCCGGCACAGGCCGGGCGTTTGCAGTTCGTTCCGCCCTTCCGCGGCGCGAGCCCGGATGAGGCCGCGTGCCGGCGAGCGGGCGGCGAGGTACATCGCGCCACGTGCGCCCGCCCCGGCGCGGCGCGAGGCTTTCACGCGCGTCCTCGGCGTGGAAGGGACGGAGGGCGATGCCGGGGCAGAGGCCTCTGAAGGGGAACTGCGGAGGCAGGGGGTGATCAAGCAAGGCACTGACTGGCTTTGGGGCCGGCTGGAAACGGTTTTCGAATTTCTTTCTTTTCGTTTAAGTGCGACAGGGATGTCTCTCCGCAGGGGAGAACTTCTAGGAGGTGCTTGCAACATAATTAAAGTTGGTAGACAGCTGCGTTTTCTGTTTGTATGTACGTGCTGTTGGCACAAAGCTTTCCATGAGCTATTAATCTGCCAGAGAGTCCGGCCTTGCGGTATGGGTAGAGGTCGTTGGCGCAATTAGCCATGCTGCATCTTGTAAAAAAGAAATGGATAGTGTACACATTCATTCATAACGATGCTGGAAGTGGCTGTCCATCATTGGTTTTCCAGTGATTTGGATTGATACTCGTAATGCAATTTTTATAGGTGCGACGCGGCTTTCTGCGGGAGACTTACTTTCTTTGGCAAAGTCATACGGCTTAAATTGTTAAGCTATGTAGTACGGTAGACGGAGCACACAACGATCGAGAAGTCACTGTATAGCAAGACAATGATCGTGTGTTAGCGTTAAAGGCAGGAGTCGCATGGCACCCCTAGGGTACGCTGTAAGATCGGCGCTCCCTTCCAACGTAAGTTGTCTCGTGGCGTCCGCCTGAGAGGTGCACAAGCCTTTTTGATATATTTGTGAACCATGTTTCAGAGTATAGTCGTTCGTTCAACACAATTTACCATTCTTTTCGGATTAAAAATATCTTATTTAGACGTCCAGCTGCTTTAAAAGTCGATATTTTTGGAATCTCAATATTCTTGCAGGCACGATTGAACTGTCATGTCACTTACGCATTCCACAGAGGATGCAAAAGCACGTTCACGAAACGTACGTGAATGGAAGAATGAATAAATGAGAAACAATAATTATATCGATTCACAATTCGGGGATGCAAATTGAACAAATGAAAAGTATACAAAGATGAGTATGCGTACCTTATTTAAGCAAAGGTTTTTCTTTTTTATTTATACGAGTTCTTTTATTAAGCCGTAAGCGGGGGCAGGCGAGGGCGTAAGCAAGTAATTGCGGGACGTTGGCGGGACGTTGGCGGGGACGTTGCGGGACAGCCAGCGATGGTCGGACCTGGGAGGTGAGGCGGTGGCATCACGGGCTGGTGAGGCGGGGAGGAAGGGGAAGACGGGACGGAGCCGCAAGTGGGATGGGGGTAGAAGGCGCGTCCGAGCAGGACCAACGAACGGAGGAGATGGGGAGAGGGGGAGGAGGCGGACGAGCCAGGGCCGAAGCGGGAGCCGAAACGGGGCGGAGGAGCGAGAGGCAGTGGACGGATCGGGATCAGCGTGTGAGAAGGCAGGGAGTATGGGTCGATACGAGGTGGGACGAGGTGTGGACCTGGAGGGGCGGTGAGAGGTGGAGGGGGTGCGACGAGTAAACCTGGCGACGGACCAAGACGGTCGAGGAAAGTGAGTTGGAGGCCGGATCAGTGCGGACCGCGGAGTGACAGGTTGAGGGAGGCGAGCGGGGCAGGCGGGCAGGGAATAACTACTTTTAGCTGCCGTCGAGCAGAGGCTGAGGCGTGAGGCGGGGCGTGCAGGGCGGGACGGTTTGAGCGGGGAACGGTGGGCTGGCGGTTCACGGGCGGGCAGACCCTGTAGTGGGAAGGGGGCGGTGCAGAGACGGAGGGGCGGCGTCGGCAGGCGTGCCTACGCGCGGGCGG